TAGATTTTAATGGACAGCTCCACAAAGCACTTGTTGTCCAATGCACAATAATGTTGCTGGCCTGGTGTAATTAGCATTTTAGCGATTGCTATTTGATTATTTTTTAAATTTTTTATTTTAACCGCTATCCTCACAAATTTTTTTAGTTAATACGCACATGTAATTAATTTCCTTTTATCTGCTAATTTTTTTATTTATTTAATTTAGCAATACGTGTTACTTTAGATGCATATTTATTGTTACAAAATGTGTATGTACTTTGTTGTTATTGTATTTATTTTAATTTTTTTTTGTTAATACAATCATTGCATATTAATGTGTATTTGTTTATTAAATTTCTCGCTTAAATGTTAAGAGCATCAGAATTTTCCCATTCATAAATTATAACAACTACTCGTACATATGTATATACATATGTATGTATTTAAGCATTTATACTGATTTTCTTGATTTTCTTGATTTTCTGCATTTTTTTATGTTTTGACCTTCTGCAACTTGCGACGTTTGGAAACTACAATACATACATACAATATTTTTATTTTCATATCATTTTCGTTTATAATTCAACACTAACACTAAATAACACTACGGACATAGCATAAATATGTATGTATGTATGTATGTTGGTTTGTACGCTAAATTTGCATTACATTAAATTGGCAAATCGCCTTTTCGCACTTGAAACATTCAACTACACATATATGTATGTTTTTTTTACTTTCACTTAAATTTTATTGAATTTCATTCATCATAATTTCATTGTTATTATTCAATTTTGTATTGAACATCGAATTTTTGCGCTAAAATTTTTTTATTTTTATTTTTTTTTTTTGTTATTTAATTTTTTTAATTTATATTTTTTTTATTATTTAATTTTTGTAATTTAATTTTTATAATTCCGTTTTTTATTTAATTTTTATAATTCCCTTTTTATAATATAATTTTTATAATTTTATTTTCGTATCTTTCTTTTCATTACTTCATTTGCGTTTTCGTATTTTTCTTAAATCTTCAATACGCGCACAACAGTTGTGCTCATTAAAGGCTACTTTTTTATGTAATACATACAAACACTATTTTCCAACACTATGCATTTTAAGCATTTTCCTTTAATTATGCTAAATTTTTTTTTATTTATTTTTTTTTTTTAGTGCCCCTTGAAACCGGAAGCGCAAACAGATTTTCAACTACTGCATTTCTTTGCATACAAACAGACAGACAGACTAGCAGGCAGGCAGCTAAGAGTTTGAGTTGTAAAAATCATATAAAAAATACAGTTGTAGTATTTTTGAAAAAAAAAAAAAAAAAAATTATAATCGGAAACAATTTTTTTTTAAACCTAATTGAATTGGTTAATTTTTTTTTGTACATATGAATGTATGTAAATATTATATGTTTGTTCATTTGTTCATGTGCATTTCACCTCGATGTAGTGGGCGTATACGTTAGAGAAATCGCATTTTTTATTTATATATAGATAATATGTACGTATATGTGTGTATGTATATGCTTGTATTATTGTGTTTGTATGTAACATGTATGAGTATAAATCAATATGTATTAAATATTGCATTATAATTAAGTAGTAAGCTAAAAATAAAGTAATCCATATAAAGCTTTTCGGTTAGTTTGTCGTTTCGTTAGTTTGATTGCTTGGCAGCAAACTGTGTTGTGAATAATGTGAGAACATACTATGCATGTGTTTATACATACATATGTACATATGCATATATGTATTTTTATTAATCATTTCTATTATTCATTTTGCAATTGTTTTATTATGTAAAACGTGAGCTGATTTGCAGCAAAACATGTAAAGAAATCGAGCAATAAATGTCAAATACCAAGGATTAACCGATTTTATATAAAAAAAAATATTTTATAATTTATGAATGTACGATATATTTTCCTTTACTTATTATTGCACAAAATCTAAAAATAATCAAACAAGTAAGCAAAATTTCCAATGTTCGATCAATTTTTTGAGAAGTGGAAAATTATCAATTGAATAAGAATCGTCGTAGATCAAGCAAATAATCGATTATTCGTGCAATATATACCGTTATTAATACTTATTACACAAATCCGAAAAAAGTAACCCGAAAATCAAGAAATTGCAATTTTTGGAAAATTTCTGGAGATTGAAAAAATACCAATTAATCAAGAATCGCTACGGTTCATTATCGATTAATCGTGCAATACACATCGTTATTAACAAAAAATGCACGAATTCTAAAAAATAAGCAAACAATAGTTTTCGTTCACTTTTTGGCGATGTGCAAAATTTCGATTACTCAAGTGAGCAAATCGAACAAATCGATTAATGCGCTTAGTCGATTTTACTCACTGAATGCACTTAGTCAAAGTTTCTCAAAATGTATATTAAATTATATTTTTGGGTTTTATCGATAAATTTTTATTTAATCTCTCTCTTCGAGCATCGATTATTCGAAACTTACACGTAAGTCAAAAATATCGACAATCAAGCGGGCAAATAAACGATTAATGGTCTTAGTCGATTACTTGCTTGCTAGAATTATGTATGTGACCAAATCTTTTCAAAATGAATATTAAACTTTTCGATATTATCGATAAATTTAGAATTAATTCGCAATATACTAACGTCGAAACATCAAATGTCTATTATATTCATCTATATATGTATGTGTATATATGCGTATTAAATAAAAAATAATTAATTATGCTACAAAAACCAATTGTTAATTTTTCATAGACTTTGGAGATGTAAAAAAGTATCGATTTATCATTTATTGTTTCATTTGCGTACCGAATTTCAATCAGTTTGAATATTTTATATTTCGTATTACCGTTCAAATTACTTGTAACCGAATGCTTCGAAATACTTTTTTTTAGAGGGAATTAGCAAATAATCGATTAATCACTTAGTCGATTGTGCGCTCATTGAATTTACTTAGCTAAGGCTTCTCAATATTAATGTTTTTTTTTTTTAATTTTAAGTGTATCGATAACTTTTCATTTAATCTTTGTTATGCTGTCTTCCAGCTCAAGTATTCGAAACTTCCATGTAGTATGTCCGTAGCTGGCTAAAAATATTTCCATTTTTCTCTACAATTTAATTAGAATTTCATTTTGGTTTTTTATTTTAATTTAGTTATTTATTTGGATTTTACAAATTTTGCTTATTTTTAGTTTTTAAAATTAATTTTTTTTTTCATTAAATTAAAATCGGGACTTAATTTGAAGTATTGTAGCACAGCAAGCCTTTAGCCACTATTTTTTGTATATTTTTATTTGGCTTTCAGCAAGGATACAAATATTTCAGCTTATGCTGCAATACACAATTTCGATTTTAAAAAGGATTTTGGATAATTTTTGCTCCATTTTCTGGAATTGTGCCTTCGTTCCGTCTCATATTATTCTCTATATTTCTTTTTATGGGATTTTTTTTAATTTTTGCATCATAAAATTCTTTTTGGTCAACTGTTTAACGGTCATATCAAGAAGTTATTTTTATATGTTCAATAGCATTGTTGATATGAGCGTATAAAAAATTTATTTAAAAACAAACAAACAAAATACTAATAAATTGTGAATTCTAAAAAAAGTTGTCTCCAATATTCCAAATGTAAATTTAAAAAATCCATTTCTAAGAGTACAATTTTGTTTTAAAATTACAATTTTATTAATTTTTGATTTTCATTACCAATGTGATATAATTTAATAACTATTTTTGAAGGCAAAAGGGAATGTAAGCACAAGGGAAAAATATGCGGCAAATGCTAGAAATACAATTTTATTATACAAAAAAAAAAGAATGTGGAAAAGAAGGTATCGGCATTCGAAGGAAAGGAAAATATTGGTGACATAAGTGTTAGTGAATTTAATTAACATCATGGTCATTCAAAAATCTGTACGTATGTAGAAGTATTTGAAGTTGGTTTCTCTGCTTCAAATATATTTTTTTTTATTTATTTGCTGTTCAAAATAAAGTGCATAGAACTAATTTCAATTATTTTAAGCGTTTTTGCTTTTTTAGATCCCTGATATTTTTTTTTTGTTTCTCGAGCAAAGATCTCTCGTTTAATTAATTATTGTTTTCAGTTTGCAGAAAAATTAGCAAATTGTCTAAGATTAGATGAGATACAAGTGTATTTACTTCTCTTACTGATTTCGGTTTTATAAATAAAAAAAATAATAATTACATATATGTATTGTATATATATAGTGTATGGAAGCAAATTGCACAGTAATAAAAATAAAACATGAAATGATAAATAAAAAAAAACTCTCAAAAGAACAACGATTTTTCTTATTTTCTTGCTTGCATCGCATTTTTGTTGTAGGTATAGCTGTTGGTGTTGTTATTGTTGTTATTGTTGTTGATGATGTATTATCCGTTGCTGCCGGTTATTACTTGCGCCTAATATTTGACGCTGCATCCATCGGCTGCCGCGCTACCACTACTAAACCGATCCTCCATATATTGTATTATGTGCAACGTTTGCTAGTTATGCCTCATTCATAATATTACTTCAAAATTATTATTATTTTAAATTATTATTACGCATATTATCATAGTTTTTGTTTATTTAATAAATATTCAATCCAAATCTAACCGTTTATCAATAATAACGCGCATGCGCCAAAGCCAAAACCACCACACGGCGCCGTTTGCCACGCCCACGCCAACGACAATGCCAAAGTGCGCGCTCACGTTGCCGTCGCCGCCGCGCACGTAATAGCCAACGTCACTTGCGCTGAAACATGCGTCGCAACGTGTTGCGCCAGCACAATGTTTGGCCCACAGCCGATGCGGTTGCCGATGATGTGGGTGTCACTGCGCCGCCCGACACCGAACGTGTGGCGCGCTTGTGCGACAACAATGGCAAGGGCAGCGAAGTGGTTTTTGTCGCCACCAACGGTTTACGCAACGACGAACACTGCACCATATCCAGTTCTGCCATGGCCGCTGCCGCCACCATACCACCCATATCGTGGCAAGCATATGGTGATGGTGATGGCGATGGTGATAGGGAGAGCGACATCAATGTAGCTGTTGGTGTTATTTGTAATGGCCGTGGGGGTGATAGTGGTGGTAGTGGTGGTGTTGGTGGTGCTACTGCTAATGGTGGTGGTGGTGGTGTTGGAGGTGGCGTTACGCTTGGTGCTGGCGCATACGCGCAACAGCAAGTCAGTGTATTTTATCTCAGCCACGGATGCTTTAGGCAGTCCGCAGCCGTTGCACGTTTCGCTCGATCGAACTCCAACATTGGTACGAGAAAGTCGGCAAAAGCCTCCGCATCATCGCGTGGCCATTCATACTTCTCCGATAGCACATCAACTAGGCCCCATGGCTTTAAACCGGTAATATTGCGCAATTCGCCTTTACGATTGAACGCTTGTGATGAATATGCACCGTGTTGGATTATGTTAAGCGGTATCGGACCCAATAATTCGATAATGTGTGCAATATGATCTTCGTCTCGTGAGTAGTTTTCTCCTGAATGTGGCTCGAATAGGTAATCGCCGGTTGCCAGCTCGAAAGCCATACATGCAGTACTCCAAATATCTGCCGATGTATCATAGCCGGCACCAAGTATTACCTCCAACGAGCGATACTGACGTGTCTGTATGTCCTCGGTGAAGTGTTTGTCCACCCAACATGCATTGCCAAGATCGGCGATTTTCACGTCGAATTTGCACGGCTCCAACGCGGGGTCTTTGCGTGGGATTGGTTTTACGGCCGGTGGTGAAGCTAATGCAGGCGAATATATTACTGGTTCCGATTTGGATTGTAGTGGCGGAGCTGTTGTGAGTGTGCAGTTAACAATTTTCTCATTATTATTCGCATTTTGTTTTATATGAGGTGTCATATTCGTATTCGACGCGTTCGAATTGTTATTATTTTTAATGTTATTATTTTGCGTTTTATTTGCCTTTGTATTGGAATTTTTATGTCCTGCATTTTTCTTATTTGCTGATTGTCCCTTGAGAGTCGGTGAAGAACTACCCGAGTCATTTACTTCGTCTTTGATGGTGTGGCTATCGCTGCTCGAGGTTGATTTATTATCATTTTGCTGTTGTTGATTTTCCTTCTCCTTTTGGTGTTGCTGCTGGTGTGCTATGTTTTCTGCAATAAAGAAAAATAGAAAATAAGGAAATTTTAGTATAATTTAGTGACAAAAAGTGAAATGTAGATAATTAACATACTCTTATTTTTCTTCTTCTTTTTCTTCTTATCACCACCAACGCTGTTGTTAATAACTTGTTCAGCTGCAGCATTTACTGACGTTTGCTTTGGCGTTTTGCGCGGTGAATTCGTATTCGAATTGTTGCTCACGCTTACACGCGGTTGCTCCTCTTCATCATCATCATCGGCATCGCCATCAGCTGCTTTGTCCTCTGCATTAACATCCTGTTCAAGATCGTCGTCATAGCCGTACTCATCATCCTCCTGCCCATCTTCCGGATCACTGGCATCGCCATTGACCAATTTACCACCCTTCAAACGCGGACGCTGTTGCTCATTGCGTCCATCACCAAAATCATCATTATTCAGGACGACGCCTTCAGCATTTTCTGCTGGCGCTTCACCGCCCTCATTGGGCCCACCACCACCACTTTGCTCCAGGTAATCCCATTGTTTTTTGAACAATTCCAAACGTTTCTTAGCTTTCTTTTTTAGCTTCTTCTTTTTGTTTTTACTCATTTTGCCGGTGATTTGTGGCTCACGATATTCTTTCGGAGCTCGACTAACAAATGATGGAAACATTTTATAATTCATCACATACAGCTCAGTGGCTTCGTTCGCCAACGAACGCACATATTGATCATCGACACAAAGTAGCACATTCTCCGGTTTTATATCGGTATGTATAATCTTGCAACAAGTGTGTAAATAGTCCAAACCCTCGAGCACCTGACGTGTAATCGATTTAACATTTTCAATTGGTATACCACGATAATTGGACTTGCGTATGAGTTTCAGCAGATTGTCACCAAGCACCTCGAATACCATACAAATGTGTGTACCATTTACACCGGTAATTCGAAAATCGTCTAACAGCTGCACCGTTTTCTGGCGACGCGGATTGCTCGGTTCCGAATCGCGCACCGATTTGAGTATCTTGATTTCATCTTTGGCCGTTTCGGCGAAATGATGAGCGGATTTTACGATTTTTATGGCCACATAACGTTTCTCTTGCAAATCCCAGCATAGCCAAACGGTAGAGAAATGGCCCCAGCCCAATTTGCGTACAACGTGGTAACGTCCTGTAAAAAAAAAAAAATTAAAAATGATCGATCAACTGTTGTGTAAAATGGAAAATAAATTCATGAAAAGTATTATTCATGTGTATAAAGGTAATGACATTTTATTTAACTTAATGAATTCTTTTGAAATTGTTCAATCGTCACATAATCTTACTGATTTGAATTGATTTTTAAACTCATTTTGATCAAATTTTTCTGTATTCCACTTAATTCATGTCTTTTTTATTTATCTTTGTTGCTTGATTTTCAAAAAATAAAAATAGAAATGAATTGAAATTTTTTTTTTTTTTCAATATAAATTGAAATATCATATTTCTAGAGATAAATAAAAATTAAACAACTTACAGCGAAAAAGAATTAAAATACAATGGACTGACTCTATATAACCCCTAAAAACAAGTTCTGTTTTATTTTATTATTATTTTTTTTCCAAAATCTGTTATTATTTCATTCATCTTTTTTAGCAGAAGAAAAAAAAAACGATTATGCATATAAATAAATCGAACTTTGAATCACCTGATAAATAGACAAGATCATAAAAACCAGTGCAATCCGGCAACAAATTCATTCCGTTCAAGTAATTTCTGTTGTCACAATTAACCAATGACACTATGGTGCCCACCACAATTATTTTTATGCGACACTTGATTCTACAAGCTTGGATTATTTGTCTACTTTGCGCACTATTTAACACATATTATTGTGATTTTTTTTTTTTTTTACTTTTTTAACTATTTGGAATTTTGTTCATTATTAACCTCGCCACAATTGACTATTCTTTGTAGGCACAAATGTTTGTATATATGTATATACATAGCTGCACAATGTGCACATTTAACCGTGCAATAAGGCATTGTGACACTTTGAAGAACACTTTGTATTTGACCTGCACATTTCAATGTCAGTATGAGACTAAAGCACAATAGGTGCATTGCAATCAGCTCCAGTCCGCCCGCACTTAAGGCAAACACGAAAGCCAACCACCCCACGCCACTCAAGTGTATTATGAGTGTCTGCGTAGTTTATTCATCCAAGCGACGGTGGCAATGATGCATCTTTGTTAGCATTCCACCACAAACTACTGACTACTGACTACTCACAAACGAACAAAATGCACTACGCCCTGAAAACACCGACACAATAAACTATAGGTTGGTTGACTCTTCTGAAAAGTGGATAAATTTAATTAACTTGACAAATTGCGAATTTTATGGTAGTAAGTAACCGTAAATAGAGCGAGTGCTTAATGTGGTAGTCACAATTGACTATACATACAAATTTATATTGGCGAAAGTTCTGCTGCTTACGGGTAAAATGTTTAGAAATGAAAAGCAGAGGAGTGGTTGGCATAAATGTTTCATTACTTTTGGAGAATTTTTGATTAATTTACATTTAAAATGATTAGTTTTGCTAATATTAGTGAGACTATTGGAAATACACTGCGCGTCTAAAAGGAAAACTGATAATACCGAAATATACGTGGACACACGCATAAATAATAAAATTCACTTAATGATAGAAGAAGACCACTAACTTTGTAATAAAATAAGCAGATACTTTTTCTACTTCTCTATATTCACGTACAACGACTACAACAGAGTCATCTTAGATTAATTATTTAAAACTAAATTGTAGGTAATTGTCTGAAAAGTGCACACATTTGTTGGTGGCTTTTTATTGGCAGATGGTTAAAATGATTTGTAAATGCATCGCATGCACGATATAAACAAGAGCATACTTTCGTGCAGACCTTTAAATTCCTACTTATAGATGTACGAATGTATGTATACCAAAAATACCTAAAGGAAGCTACTGTCCAATTTAATGGACAAGCAATCGCTATATTATGACCCAATAGTTTTATAGTCGATTATTTGAAGCACATATAAACATTTAAACAAATGCTTATAGGTCAGAACATAAAAAAGGTCTGTTTTGCAATTTTAAATAATTTTTTTTCTTATAATTTTTCCCCAATATTTCGTTAAAATGATAAATTAAATTTTGCCTATAAATGTACATATATGTATATGTGAGGTAACGATTAAAGTGAACCATGAACGCATAAGAACAGATATGCTATATATGCATTCTTTATGGTACATACTTCAAGCTGACAACAAACAAACAGAATATATTTGTATGTAGGTACATTGAAAAACAGGCGGGGGATGAGATAATACAAAAAGAAAATGTTTAAGCATACATTGTTGTTTAAGTGAAAAGGTGTAACACTCACAATAAAAGTACATACATATATGGGAGCAACGCAAAAACAAAATTTGAATTTAGTAAAGTAAAAAAATTGACCAAAGCAGTAGGGAGCGCGTGAATACCGTATATCGCATGCGTTTTATTGATTTTGTTCTGCAATTTTTGTTGTCGCTATCGGAATACTTACTATAAAAGATATGTAAAAGATAATAACAACTTTAAACGTTTTATACAATATATCAACGCATATTGCATTGATAGGATAGACGTTTAATAAACGTTTATATTATTGGTGGATGTGATTCCCAGTTCAGCGCAATACCAGTCTTCGAATTGTAGACGAATTAGTTATACGCTCCGCTTTGTGTTATGAATGACTAAAAGCATATTTCCATCCTCATTAAACCAAACAGAATTACAAACGCACATGCATATTTTTGCTAATGATAACACATTTTTTTTATCTATTCCCGACTAAAGACATTTACGCATACAATAGGTACATATGCGTGACTATTTTCAACTAGTATGTAGTACAGTTTTGCTTATAAATATTCCAAAAAAATATTTACTTAGTTACTACGTAAATATAATCAAGTTGCCAAGGATACTTAAATTTCAATAGAGTATTTACCTTGAAAGAGATCGCCAATATTTACAGGATGGTAGCCACCTTTACAGTAGTCTTCCTTTAATTCTTGCTCCTCATTTTCACTATTCAATTCTGAATCTTCCGAATCATTCGAAGAACTGCGTGGCGGGTATTGATATTGTTGTTGTTGTTGTTGCAACTGCTGATTAACATCATCGTATTGATGCTGTTGTACATGATTGTATTGTTGTTGTTGTTGCTGCTGTTGCTGCACATGAAAATTATTGATATACTTTTGCTGTTGCTGATATTGTTGTTGCTGTAGCAACTGTTGTTGTTGATAGTTGTTGGTTGTGTACTTTTTACCCCCACCACCGGCATTAACCGCCGCACCCTTAATATGTGCTATATCGTCCAAATTCGTGGCAGATCCTGTGGCAGGCGTGTTAGCAGTCATTGAACCTGTGCCACTTGTCGATGGTGCTCCACTAAACGATTTAGACATTTTCGGATTGATTTCACATTCTGGCGAAAGTGGAGATGTTGGCGGAGCACCGCTTGGATTGCTATTATTAGAATTTCCCGGTGTCTGGCCAACACCACCGCCACCACCACCGCCGCCGGCACCACTTGCTACACCATTTTGTTTACCACGCTTCTTATTAGGCTTATGCCGTTTCTTCTTGGCTTGAATGGCCAAAACCCGCCTGTTGACGTCAGCTTTTGTGTTCATTTCAATATTTTTTCCGCTAGCTACTACTACTTTATTGTTCGAGACAGCTGTTGTTTTTGTTGCCCTTGTTTCAATTTCAGATGCTGTAATTGCGAATGACAGCGATGTGTTATTGACCACAGCCGCACCAGCTGCTAAAATCACGATGTATGGATCAGTATCCCGTTTTTCCAATATTTTTTTTCCAATTGGAAACGGTGCTCTTTTGTCGAAATAATATTTTGTCGTATTAATGATTATACTTTATTTCATCCACACCACTTCCCAGGTCACACTATAGAAGTTATTGAAAAAAAATAAATTTGTAAGACATTTGCTTCGTTATAAATTTGGCTATTTTTCGTGCGTTGCTTCCTGTGGAAATACATACAACGTTTATTCGAAAATTCAATCAAATATTTTCACTATGACAATTTTTTCACAAATTTCTAAGCTTAAAAATTAAACTTTCAAAATTTTTACTACATTCGAAAAGATTTTCTCCGATTAAGTATTTTTCATGGTAGAAAAGGAAATTAAACAAAAAAAAACGCAGCCGAGAAAATTTTATATAGAACTTCCAATTAAAAAGGTCGCACCATCACTCTCTGACACAAGTAAAAATCCACTTTGCCACAATAGCCTTTTTAATCTATCTCATTTACACAAATTCAATAGCCATCCGTTTGCAAATGTCGTCAGAGCAAGTATGTCAAAAACATGCGTTGCCAACTGAATTTACGATTTTTTTTGCAATGTTTTGCATATTTTCCTAAACAAATTATCACTTTTACAAGGTTTATTAGATTTATAGTAACGACACCACATTCTGAAATACTTTAAAAATTGCACTTACATTTCTTAGGAAACGCGTTGAAGAAAGAAACATTTACAAATTTCTTCCATCTAGAACTTTTCGCACAACTTGCAAAGAACGTTCCTTGCCACTGACACAAATTCGACAAAAAAAACATGTGGTTGGAGTCGCTGCTCTAACGACAAGGTTGCAATTTTACCAATAAGATTGGCAATTCGCTAGGTGCTATTTGACGGATTCCCAAAACATTTGAGAATTATTATAATAAAAAACTCCACTCTTATTTTCAGAAAAAAAATATTTTAAAACTTCAACTGCACTCCCAAAGAACTCTGTTTTTGGAGATTCCTCACTTATTTGCTCACTGAATGTTGTTCTAAATATGTTATTTTTAAACGTTAATTCTTTTAACGATCCTCATAGGATACCAAAAATTCGAGCATCGTTCAAACAGAGAGTGAAGTTTCAGCCTTAAATCAGAGCTTAGGCAGATATGTTTGAAACGCACAATTCTTTAAAAAAATTTATGATATTTAAACTTCAAAGAAAAGTATGGAATGCTACATTTTGTTTCATTTTCCTAAATGGAAATTGTGATACATTTTACAAAGCTATGAAAAAAAAAAAAAAAAAAAAAACAATTAAAAACATCAGGTAATTTTTAAGTTATCTTTGTGAAGATCCAAATTTGTTTTAATACGTTTGGTAGGGAATAAAATATCTCAGAATGTGCTGATCAAGTTTAGTCGCTTTTGACTCCCATTGAACAAAATTTTGGTTTTATTCCTGCAAATATTTTTTAAAAGGTCCGCGTATATTTTTCTCATACAAATTTAAATTTCTGCTAATCGTAACGAATTCAACATCTCAACATAATCAAATTTGTTCTGTTTTCTCATTTTGATTATGAATAAACGACTGAAATATATTTTTATTTGCTTGGAAAGTCCAAGTAAAAATTAAATTAAAGCCAACGAAACTCTTATTTCGAGCCATTAGTCTTCGTGCCGTCACAGACGAAATTTCTGCCTAGTTGACGATTGACAGACAATAAATTAAATATTTTAATTTTTCCGCAAGTTAAAAAGAGTTAAAGCAGAGAACTTAGAAGAGGTCTGCAAATGAACCTTCTGGTTATTCTAAGTTCTCTGGCTGAAATTGGCAAACGTGATAGCCTTAAAGAAATGTCAGGAAAAACAAAATAATTTATGTGTCATCGGCTTATTGCGTTCATTTGCGAATAGAAGAAATAATATACAATTAAGGTTCTTGGTAGCCCTGGCTAAATTATAAGAACGTGTGCATACTGTGTCTGTGCACCCTGTGCTGCATAAGTTGGCAATAATTGTTGATCTTTTATTGAACTTAAATTTCAGTGCATTATTTTTTCTTTCCGCTAAGTTCTCCTTAGCAGTGTAGTGAAAAATCTTTAAATGAACATTACATCTTTACTTAAGGAAGTGAAATATATATATTATTTATTATTTGAATTGTGATGTATTAATGAAATAAGTGCGTAATATACCTAAATGTCTATTCTTTTTTATTGCAAATTTTTGTTGTTGGTAGTGGATTGCATATATGACGTATGAGAAAGGTGAAGTCATATTGCTTTCTCACATCTTACAAAACAGCTGATTGCGGACTGACATCTCGCATTGAACTGGACAAAAAGAGATGACATGATTGTGTTAGGGTAGGCTAACAACAAAAATAGAATTGGTACAAAATTTCCCAAAACAAAAGCGCGCGAAATAGGGGAAATAATGCGCGCCAAATACCACTACTCACGTAGTGAATTAATCAAAGATTATAATAGCAAATAACATATATTAAATATATTTTTATGTAACAAACAAAATAAATAAACATTTAATTCATAAAAAATTTTACAATTAAGAAACGAAAGAAATTAGTAGCCTCATATTGCTTGCAGTTTCCAACCAAGTATGAAGAGCGCCCACCATACAGATAAACATACATATGTATCACATGCAAACGCAGTATAAAGAGTGGTGTGTGAGTAGTACTTTCTTTGAATACTTTTGGAGGGAAAATGCGTGTCAGTCAGAATTTGAGCGGGATAAAGTAAAGACGTGTTAATCACTCGTGTGCTACAGACCATAGATAAGACGTGCACTTTTGTGAAATTCTGATACAATTAACTAAAAAAATATAAAAAAGTTATTCTTTTCTAAATAATAAATACTTTCTAGTATATAATGGCGCAGCCTTCAATAGCTTCATATTTTAATACGCGGAAGCGCGTCGCTGCAGATGAAGCAGCCTCCATAAAAAATCGGGTAAGTGCATACAGATCTCGAACATAAATACATATATGTGTGTTTTAATTGAAGATTACTGCAATATCCTGTGGCGTCCTTTAGAGCTGGCCAAACGGACATTTTATATGTGAAGGCATTTTGCTCCTAACATTATGGTCTCTCTTTTCCCCCTAGTTAAACGTATACCTATGTGTGTATGTGTATATGTGTGTGATGTAACGTAATTTTGCTCTTAGAAGACGAATGTGCTCTTAAATGTACATAAGTAAATTATATACATATGTTTAACTTGGGGAAAGGATAAATGCAGATGTTGTCCAAGTAAATAAAATATTAATTTAATGCTATTTAATATTCACAGCGGTTGACTGATGATAGTGCAACGATACCACCACCGGCCACTCCGATTGCTTCGGGAAGTCATGATGATGGCGTTGATATTGCCTCGATCAAAGCTGCCGCTATGGGCATACGGACGCGTTCCGGCCGTACGATCAAACGTACTGGTGTCCAGACTACAGCCGAAGCTCCGGCTAAAAAGCAAAGTAAAACTGAACAACCATCATTGCAACAAAAAAAGCTTGTACAATTTATTAAAAAGGGACCACTGTCACCAAGGAAAAAAATGTCAACACCAAATAATGAAATGCAAAAGAAAAACGAAGAAACTCCCAGTGCTAATACAGCCATAAAAGTAGCGAACGCTTTCGCATCCAAGGATAATGTAACAAATGTGTTGCGTGGACTTAGAACTCCAACTAAACAAATAATAAAAGGATCTGGTGCAACACCACTTAAGCATGAAGAGATCAAAGGCTTAGTGCGAAAAGAACTGAATTTCGATGAAGTCAAAACCAAATTGTCACGTAGCGCTAAACTTCAAGAATTGAAAGCATCCCTATCGCGAATACAAGAGCTGGAAAAGTCACGTAAGGCACATGAAGATCGCAATCGTCGTTTGCGTGAAGGTCAGAAGGTCTCACCACTGAAACAAGCCGCACCAGTTGTACAGCTGAAGGAGTTCCAAACTATTGAACTAGAAGTGTTGACTAGGTAAGTTATAAGAAAAAAAACCTGACCAACCCAACCTATTTTCGTTACATTAAATATAATTATACCTGTGACTGTGCGAAACATTTATGATTTAATTTGTCCTACAAATAAAAACCCGGTAAACGATAAAGCGTCCATCAAAGAGCTATTGAGGTCAAAAAATTAAGTTTTTTTTCTTTTCTTTTTTTTTTTTTTTTTTTGCAAAGTAAACTACTCAGTGACTGAGAAGTCAGACATAATGTAAACTGCTGGCACTGCAAATGCCACCAGTCCGATGGTCATTCAGTCAGCTTTGCAGCTCTCAACGCTTCATTTATACTACGTCATTGTCAAATATTTATGTATGTATTTTTGGGTTCTCTTCCTATAGTCACTTCTCATATGCTTCTTTTGCTTACCATAGCAGTTGGAAATCAAGAAAAGCAAAAATCAGTATGTTTACATTTTCACACATATTTCTTGTTGCCTTTTCCATTTATTAAACATACTAAAGTCTACAAGTAGACATAACGACAGTAACATATTTTGGATTGGTAATTGCATATCGCATTTTCTTCTCATCTCTACATACATATGTATGTATATAATTAAATATATGTATGTATGATCACTATCCTTTTTTCATTCACACATTCCCATGCAGTATTTTCGGTTGTTGTTTGTTAGTTTTTCCTTTTATTATTTGATCCGTTCATCAGGGTGGTTTTTGTAACGGCCGTTTAAGATTATGTATAGGAGAGAATGTTCCTTTGACTGCAGTCAGATGTTTGAGTAATACTTGTTATGCAAAGGATTTTTTTTTGCTCTATGGACGCTGCATTTATCGCTCAGTCGAATTTATAAGATAGACTTCTGGTATTGAGAGCTCTAGCGAATGCATATACATATATAAACACAAATGTATACCCCAAAATTTAGGTTCTTATTTGATTTCATGGTCGGTATAAAACTAACATAAGTACATGTATGTATATGTACATATGTACGGCTTGTGTTGCAACGGCCAAATAATTCCTGAGAATTTGATGAGAAGGACAGTCCTTGTTTTGATTTGTATGTATATACATATGTATATGCGCTGATAGTTTTTTTTTTTTTTACAAATAACTATTTTTAATATGCAAATGCTTTTCTAAAGCTCTTAAAATTCGATGGAAAATTTTTTTAACTTACCCCCTCACCGCAAATTATGCAACATTGCCCCTTATTATTAATATATTACTCTTTTATTCTGCCATTACAGCCCGGCAAAAACATTTAAGACCCCAACTAAAATACCACCACCCACACCGGATAAAAATGAGCTTATGTCACCACGTCATACAGATGTTTCCAAACGTATACTCTTCAGCCCCGCCAAACAGGGCTCTCCATCGAAGTTGGTGGTGCCACCGGCGTATCAGCGTTTCATGAGCCTTGCTGAAACAAGCAAAGCAGGTCAATTGCCATTGCCGTTTAAATATCGTCACCTCATTGAGATATTTAAAGGCGTAGATTCGGTGTGTGCCATGTTTCATAATCGCAAGGAATGCATTACTTTCAAGAAGTTGAAACCAGCTGTACAACGTATGTTACGCAAGAATTTCACTGAATCACACTTAGCGCAAATTAAGCAAGTTTATCCCGAAGCGTTCTTATTCTCACAAATGAAAATGCGTAACTATGGTTCTGTGTCGAAGGCGGATTACTTTCAATTGGTTATTTGCCCAAATGTTGACGGTAATGGTGGTGGTGTGGAAAAGATGACATCGACCCGTAATGTAGATGAAGCTGACGCTGCCGATAATATACTCAATGCTGCACAAACATGCACAATGAATCCGCAGGTGATGATTGATCGCTTGCAGCGCTTCACAAATACACTACTACAACGCGTTTTAAACGAGCATGAAAAGTTCTTGCTTTCACTTGATCCACCAATTAATATACCAAAATCGAAAGTTACACGTTGGCATCCGGATTTCGATTTGGAAAACTGTTCGGAGATCGCGTGTGCTCATCTACCGCAGCCACCAAATGTGGAAAAGTACTCTTCAGCACGAGATATTTTGTCTACGGCACGTAATTTATTCAATTGTGCCACACCGATGGAGCGTGCACTGGAACGCTATGAAGCCAAGATGGAAGCAACACGTGTTGCAGAGGAGAATGCTCAAAATATAACTACGGTCACGCCTACAGCCGCTGTGACAACGGACGTAAATATTGCTTGCAGTAGCAGTAATATAGCTGATGTGGCTACACCAGTTAAATCGGCTACAGTTTCCACAGCCACACTGACAACTACGCCAGTGTCAAAGCCAATTACGGTTGCCGTAAATACACGAACCAGTGCTAATGATATGACATCCAATTTGTTAAAAGGTGTTCCAAAATCATTGTTGGAAAAAATACGCGCAAAGCAAGCGGCTAAAGCGCTAGACGCTATGACAAGGCGACCATCACAGGATCAGGAAGCCACTATGTACTCACGTCTACCGGAATTGGCACGTCATCTACGTAATGTTTTCATTACCGAGCGCAAAGGTGTCCTTATGCTGGAGATTGTCATAAAGAAGATACAGAATAGTTTTCGTACTTGTTTGACGGCTCAGGAAGTGGAGGCGCATTTAAAGTTAATGTCTAAAGAGATACCAGCATGGGTATCTTTCCATGAGGTACGCAAAACAATGTATCTTAAAATTGCACGAGAAATGGAATTGAAAAAAGTAATTGTTAAATTGGAAGAAATTGCTAATGAAAAGAGCAAATAAAATAACTTCAAATAAAAAACTTTGACCCCCCCTTTAAAAAAAACATTAGAATGGGCATGAGGATATTCAAGTCATTTTGTTAGTAAGCAGAAACGTTGAAAAATCTTGCTACTTTATTTAATATTGTTAAAAAAAAAATATTTATATATAATCACTGACACTTTAGAAATAAAATATAATTTTTGGACTAACCCTAGTTAATTTACGGTAATATTTAGCTATTTTGAAGATTTCAACCTAAAACAAATTGTTTAAGCATACATTTTTTAAATTAAACGGAGATTTCAATCAAAATAACAATTCCGAATGGGAAAACGGGCTTAACTATTTTGAAAAAAAAAAAACAGATTTTCTTATATATGTCCCTAAGCAATGAAACTTAAGTTATTTAAAAAATTTGGTTATGTAAATGTTTAAACACAAATTTTATGAATTGCAACACAATCCAGACATGATTCCAGTAATATGTGTATGTATAATGTTGTTGGATAGCAATAGTAGTTATTGTAAGACATGCACTCCCAATGATTAATTTTTTTCTGTATTTGCTAAGTAGAATAAGGTTTGTTATTTCTAGAAAATAATTTCATAGAGTAGAGTAAAATTCACTCATTTTTTACATCACATTTCAGTTCAGTTCATTTTCATGTAAGCAACCGTTATTCCTGTTTGAAATTTTATGGTTATTACGTATTTTTGTAACAATAAATAAAGATTAATAAAGACAAAATCAACATATGCCATTACTGTTCTTTATAAATGTAATTGTTATAGGCCTTAACCGATACAAAAGGGATATATTTTACTGATACTGGAGCAATTCGCTGTAAAAGCATATCGATCAAAGTTTTTGGTATATCAAAATTCAGTTGAGTGTGCATCCAAACGATTCGATGACAAAATCTGATGAGACGGCGTTAGGAGTTATCGAGATGAAGGTTTTGCGTAAGATTTATGGTCCGGGGAATATCGCAGACGATGGAACGATGAGCTGATGAGTTATACGGCGACATTGATATAGTTTAGCGAATAAAGAAGCAGCGGCTTCGCTGACTTGATTGCATGGTCTGGATAGATGCGAATACTCCAGCCACTCCGTTGGAAGAAGTAACGTATGGCACAATGTTGTTAAATCGGCTAAAATCGCATAAGCGGTGTCTTCACAAGTAAGGTAAATAAGTAAGTACATTCAAACACTTCAGCTCTCTGATTTGGTGGGATAACTACAATTGCTAATAGTTGAAGCGCTGAATGGCATTACTAAGCAATTTAAAAAAAAAAGGTTTTTTTCTACGGAAATGAACACGCTGAAATCACGAAAGGTTACATATGTAACTTGCGGAAAATGATGTTATACCGCTGCTGCATACTTTTAGCATTAATAATACTTGCTGCATTAATAATAATTATTATAGATTCTCTGCGTCAGTATATTAAGTGCTGAATTTAAAAAAAAAAATTCGTAAATCTACTATTTACTACATAGAAACAGCTAAAATTATTGCACAAACAGGCGAAATTGTGTATCTTTTAAGAGTTTAGCAGAACAAAGAATCTATAATGGATGTGCTTTCCTTTATGGTTCCAAAAAAATTATAATTTTATTCATAATTATTATAAATTCTCTAGCGAAATTTGAATATTATATCCCGAAAATTATGTTAAGTTCTTCTGCAGTTTTCAATCAGCTGGCAAGGTTTGTTTTGTTCAGCCTTCAAATTATTTGGTTTGGCGCTTCCGTCACTACGTAAATTGGTTTAGAATAGTTTTACGGTAGAATAAAAGTTTAAACATATTTTAGAATCTATAGTGCATGTTATGTTTTATTTTAAGTGATTTTATTAAAAAATGTCTGAGGAAGAGTTATTGCCCGAACCAACAATAGCTAAGTCTGGTGAAATAAAAGCCATTGCAAAGGATACAGTGCACAGGATTTGTTCGGGCCAGGTAATATTAGTTAAATAATTTCAATTTCATTTATTTTTAGTCAATATTCGATGTGATAGGTAGTACTGACTTTAGCTGTAGCTGTTAAAGAACTTGTGGAAAACTCTATTGATGCTGGTGCAACGTTGGTAGAAGTGAAACTGCGAGAACATGGTTTGGATTTGTTGGAAGTTAGTGATAATGGCAGTGGAGTTCATGAACGTGACCTTGAAGCTATGAGTGAGTAAATATCACGCATTTCGAAACAACATTCTCCTGAGGGTTAACGTACTTTTTCAGCTGCTAAATATCACACCTCAAAAATAAAGGAATTTGTAGATTTGCAAAGTGTTGACACATTTGGTTTTCGCGGCGAAGCGCTTAGTTCACTTTGCGCCCTCGCCGATTTGGTAGTTGTAACAAGACATGCCGCACACGATGTAGGTGCGTATAAGTTAATACTAGATTAGCATTAGAGAATATATATTTTATTTTATACTAAACTTTCAAGGTGTTCGTATCGAGTTGGATCATGAGGGTAAAATTAAAAAGCGTTCCCCTTGCGCTCGGAGTGTTGGAACTACCGTAACACTCACGAATCTCTTTGCTACACTTCCTGTGAGGCGTCGAGATTTTACACGTAACATACGTAAGGAGTTCAATAAAATGTGTCAGATTCTGCAAGCCTATTGTCTTGTAACTCGTGGGGTACGCATTATTTGTACGAACCAAAATGCCAAAGGCGCTAAAATGGTTGTTATGCAAACAAACGGATCTCAGGATATCTTGGCAAATATTGGTGCTGTTTTCGGTAATAGACAGCAAGCAGAACTCATACCTATAAAGCCCATCTGTACCGACGAACAGGTCGTAACTGAAGAAAGTTTACGAGCAGAGTTGCAATTGGATATCAGCGCCAACGATAGCCTGCAAATATCTGCAGAAGATGTCGAGCAATTGAAAGCAGCGCAATTTCAATTAGATGGATACGTGTCCAGCTGCAGTCATGGCTCTGGGAGATCGTCAAAAGATCGTCAATATTTTTACGTAAACTCTAGACCGTGCGATCCAAAAAACGTAAAATTTTCTAATAAAGCGAAAATTAATTTTGAGTTCAACATTTATTCACATATTGTTTACAGATCTCGAAAATCGTTAATGAAACCTATCACCGTTATAACAGCCACCAAAATCCTTTTATATTTTTAAACATCATTACTGCACGCTCAGATGTGGATGTAAATTTAACGCCAGACAAGCGTCAGGTGTTAGTAAATAATGAAAAAATTTTATTATTAGCTATTAAAAAAGCTTTGGTCAACACTTTTGGATCAATACCTTCTACTTTTAAGCTTCAAAACTCTACTATAGTAAGCATGTTCAAAAAGGATAATGGAAATACCATAAATGGCGAACTAGCAGCAAATGAAAGCACCGAAGAACTAGTGGAAAATGTGCCATTAAGTAGTTCACAACGTTTTATGGATGTATTATCACAGTGGAAAAAAACTGGCCACACCGCAGGTATAGCACCACATCTCCCTAAGAAACGCAAATGTGCCGAAGAAGTAGAAGTGCGCACGTTAAAATTAAAGAAAATCCATGACTATTTAAATAAAGATTTGGCAAATCAATGCGATATATCTAAAGAGTTCAGAGTACATTCGGATGATGATGACGAGGAAAATAGTAAAAAGAATAAGGATAACAACGTTAGCACGATTGATAATAGTTTGCTTGACATTGAAAGGCTGAGTAAGGAATCTAAAGGTAAGAAATAAGGCGTAATATGCTCTTGAGCTATCCAGGTGCATCGATTTTGTTGATCGGTCATATTGATTATTAGCCCTAGATATATCTTTGTTAATATAAAAAAATTTTACAGAGTTTGATTCGCTAACTGAAAATAGAGTGGAGCGTATAGACTGTAAAGTGATACGTATAAAACCAGAATCTTCACTGAATTTCATAGAAAAATGTCCGCCGCATGTTGATAAATGTGAAACGCTTAAAGACGACAATAGTGACCACCTTAGTCTTGAAAATCCGGATGATGAAAATTCTTTGACTTCCTCACCCTCATCAGTAACACACAAAACAATTTTAGATGATAGCATAACTGAGGCAGAATTGTCGGCCAGCTACTACTCCACTGACGTTATGCGAGTTACAATCGAAGAGATTCAGCAAAATCTGAAAGCGGAGGAAAAATTACGAAATGAAAAGAAAAAGTCGAACAAAGCTAGATTAGAGCGTTTGCGTTTCAAAAGTGAAATAAATCCCAGTCAAAATCAAAAGGCAGAGGAAGAATTGCAGCGTGAAATCAGCAAGGATACTTTTGCTAAAATGGAAATTATAGGACAATTCAATTTGGGTTTCATTATTGTGAAATTGGATACCGATCTTTTCATTATCGACCAGCATGCCACCGATGAGAAATATAATTTTGAGATGTTACAACGTTCGACGGTAATGCAATCGCAGCCGTTAGCTGTGCCACAATTTTTGGATTTGACAGCCGTGAATGAGATGCTGCTGCTGGATAATTTGGCGGTGTTTGAGAAAAATGGTTTTAAATTTGATATTGACGAAACTGGTAGGCAAACTAGAATTTGTATGATGTTTAGTTTTTTTTCTTGCAAGTTGTGTCACACTACATGAATTATATATGAATATATTTCTTGCAATTAGCGCCGCCAACCAAAAAAGTGAAATTGCTCTGTAAGCCTTCTAGCCAACGTTGGGAGTTTGGCAAAGAAGATATCGACGAATTACTTTTCATGCTACAGGATGCGCCAGCTGGTACTGTATGTCGGCCATCGCGTATACGCGACATGTTTGCATCGCGAGCCTGCCGCAAATCGGTGATGATTGGTACCGCACTAAAAAGAACGACTATGATGAAATTAGTCACGCATATGGGCGAAATAGAGCAACCATGGGTAAGTGAAAAAAAAGATATACAATTTTTTTTAATGATTAATGATTTAATTCAATTCACAAACAACATATTTCAATATATACAAACATATGTGTATGTACATGAGGTGGTATCGTATATTATTACATAAGTAGGATTTAAAACTATTTCACTTCATGTATATTCGATTTAAAGCCATTCGCCATTAATGGTCCCACCTGGGCGGGGTCCCTTCCCTTTGTTTCCGGCAGATAGCGTTTGGTTAGCATAAAAAGCAACGCGCAATCGATGGAAAAAGGTACGAATACCAGAGAACCCCAGGCTTCTTGTAGTGTGGGAAAGAGCATACCTACTGTAAAGTTACACACCCAAGAGGAAACACTGCCGAGTGACATAGCGGCTGGGCGGGGTGCCACCTCAAAGAGCTCTACGAAAATGTAAAGAAAAAGTAGTAAATGTAAACATACATATGTTTATACAAAAGCTAATCACATAAACATAGATGCGTAGTCATTTATTGCTTATCAAGAATACTTACCGGATCCAATGAAAAACGGTATGGGGGCCAAACCAAGTTGGAAAAAGAAGATGTATAGGAAAATGCAAGAAACACAACCCATTGCAAACCAAGACACATAATCCTGCAAAGAAAGTAATACATTTTTCGCTTAAATATGTATATCCTACGCCATGTGGACCTTACATATGTATCTATGTAATAAATGTAATTCAATACTTTTCAAATATTAATTTCCTACAAAATTTTGCCATACTTACGATGAAATATAGCATCACTGCAAATGACATCAGCGAGACTCCCGAGAAAAATGTTGAGAAGAGAAGTAGTGGACGTCGATTAAATCTGCTCATTAAATATGGTCCCAATAACGATATAATTAAATTCACGCTACCAGCACCTAAGTTGGCCATTTCGGCAGCTGTTGGGGATAAACCAGCTCTGAGGAAAATTGACACTGAGTAGTAGAAAATCTGGAAAATGAAAAGAATATTATTAATCTTTAAATTTTGTGTGTTAGGTAGATATGCTGCTAATCTCTTGTAGTATTTATTTTTGCATGCTCTCCCTTTGTCTAATTATTTATAATAATTGATCTGTTGAAACAACTTGAATACACACCGCGTTAATACCGGATAATTGTTGACCGCCTTGAAAAGCACAGACCAGTATCAGCGGCAAGCGTAGCTTAGGATCCTTCAACACATCACCATAACTGCTAGCTTGACTCTCCACATTCGCTTCCACCTCCATCGCAAGCATTTCTCTCTTTATAACATTAGCGTCAACATTTCCACGTAACTTTTCTAGTTGTTGTCTTGCGCCCTCCTTATCACCTTTCATAATGTATAACCATTTTGGACTTTCCGGATAATATTTCATTGGAGCATAACATATCAATACTATTATAATATAAAGACTAAGAGCAATATGCCATTGGTCCGCATTACCGAAAACGGTGCGTAAACTAAGGATTTGTGCTACTAAAACACCAACCGTTAGACCTATCGGACAAAAAACGCCCAATGCACCACGCATTGAGAGTGGCGCCACTTCGGCCAAGTACATGGGCAAACAAGCCGTTGACAAACCCGCCGCTAGACCGGCTAACAACCGCGCAATTATGAGGGCTTCTACTGAACGCATCATGCGGCATGTGAAGAACAGTATAGCTGAGGTGATGAAGAAGAAACCACAATATAGATAGCTGCTCCGTCTGAAAAAAAAAATTGTAAAGTAAAAAATAATTTAATATACAAGTTTTTTTAACCAAACATTAAAGATTTTTAAATATTAAAATTATAAAATTGCTAAACCCAGGTTGAGAATCATCTGTCGCACATACATACATACATAAAATTTTTTATCTAATGCCGCTTACCTTGAAAAGCAAATAAACGAATGTGCATAAAACTATTTTAAAATATTTAATAAATTTAAATAGAACTAAAATAGTAATAATTAAAAAAATTAAAAATAAAAAAATTATAATTAAAAACCCAAAAAAATAAAAAAAAGAAAAAAAAATATAAAATAATAAAAAATATAGTAATAAAAAAAAATAAAAATAAAAGAAAGTAAAAAAAAATTTAAACAAAAAAACTAAAGAAATAATAAAAATTAAAAAATGATAAAAAAATATTAGAAAAATAAAAACATAAAACAATAATTAAATAAAAATAAAACAAAATATAAAAATTTTATAAAAATGAAAAGCAAAAATATAAAAAAATTTAAAGAAATAACATAAATAAAAAAATATTATAAAAAAGTAAAATAATAAAAAAATATTATAAAAAGTAAAATAATAAAAAATAATAAAAAAATAATAAAAAAATAATAAAAAAATAATAAAAAAATAATAAAAAAATAATAAAAAAATAATAAAAAAATAATAAAAAAATAATAAAAAAAATAATAAAAAAAATAATAAAAAAAAATAATAAAAAAAATAATAAAAAAAAAAATAATAAAAAAATAATAATAAAAAAAAATAATAAAAAATAATAAAATAATAATAAAACATAATGAAAAAAGAATAATAAAAAAATATTAAAAAATAAATAAATGAAAAATATATAAAAACGTAAAATCTTAAAAAATTAAAAAATATAAAAACATAAAAAAAATAAATAAAAAAAATAAAAACATAAAATAAAAAAATTTAAAAAAATAAAAAATATATAAAAAATAAAAAAGTAAAATAATAAATAAAATAATAAATAAAATAATAAATAAAATAATAAATAAAGTAATAAATAAAATAATAAAAGAAAATAAAAAATAAAATAATAAAAGAAAATAAAATATAAAATAATAAAAAAATAAAAAATAAAATAATAAAAAAATAAAATAATAAAGAAAATAATAAATTAATAATAAATGAAATAATCAGTCAATAATAAATAAAATAATAAATCATATAATAAAAATAATAATACAAAAAAATAAAAAAAATAAAAAAAAAATTCAAAAATAATTCAAAAATAAAAAACAAAAAAAATTAAAAAACACATAAAGAATATAAAACAAAAATAATTAAAAAAAAAACATAAAAAATAAAAAAAACAAAAAATAAAAAAAATCATAAAAAAAAGGAAACATAAAAAAATGTACAATGGAAAAAAAATAAATAAACAGTAAAGAAAACTAAAAAACTTAAAGTCATTATTTTGAAAAAAAAAATATGTACAATGAAAATTTTAAGTTTTTAAAATAGTCTTTATTTCTATTTATTTTTCATTGGTTTTGTTTTTAAATTTTTTTTATAATTTGTTGTTTATTCTATTTACCTCTTTAGATTATTTTTTATAATTTTGTATCGATTATTTCCTGTTAAAAGTACGCGACATTAAATAAAAAATTTATTTAAAAATTATATGTCGGGCGCTATCAACTGTAATCAACTAAATAAAGAATAAAATAAAAAGTATTAAATTTTTATGGTTATATTAACATTAAAAAGTATAAAATATTTATTTCATAGAGATAAAACTTCTTAACGCCATCATAACTAATTCAAAAATTCCCTTACATTTATATTAACTTTTAGTCTATTATCAGAAGTGTATACGGAAGATAGTGATTTGAAAAGATTCGCTTTCATGCTTTTTTCTAGTTCAGCCTAGTGTACAGGAACATATCGTACAGTAAATTGAAAAACGTCACAGCTCAAAAAATCTTAAATGTTCAGGAGAGGCACAAATTCAGTTGAGACTATTTAAAAGACACGAGTATCGAGAAAAATCGCGTAACGATAGTTTCCAGTTAAATAAGATCAGAATTTGCTTGCAGTCGTTTCTAGATGTGTTCTGTGAAATACAATAGTGTTTTTGGAAAATTTTTAGTTGTGTGGTTTTTTTTATTTACTGTGTGATATGTACACTGGTGTTGGCGCTTTTCACACATTAAAAAAACGACGAATTGAAGCGCGAAAGCACAAACTAAACTAATACGGCAACACTTGTTAGGTAAATAAAATATAGGCACTTCCGGTAAAAGGAAGTTGTATAAGAAATTAAAATTGAATTTAATAATAATAATTGTTATATGTATATTTTACCTGCCGAATCGATTGGCCACTTTAGCGCCAGTCAGTGAACCAATAGCGCCGCTAATTAGAAACACCGAAACAATTGCTGACCATAAGATATTGATGCCAGTTTCACTTAGGTGCCAGTCATAACGATCTATTAGCGTTTGATTACACCATTCACGCATAAACTACAAATTTTAAAGGAGAGAAAATATTTTTCCATTAATTTTCTTAGTATAAAATAAATTTATGTGAAAGTGTTATGTGTTATAATTTATATATACGTATGTATGTATGCATGTACATACCACTGCAGGACTATTCATCACGCCCACACAGTAACCAGCTGGTATTGCTGAACCCATTGTCGCGCCATAGCCGACAAAGGCTAGCTGTTTGGTCCAACGTCCTTTCTACAAGTGCAACAATAACATAAACACAACAACAAGATAAAAATTTAAAATATTTATTTAACACAAAGTATTTACACGCAAAGAAAATAAATCAAATTTACGCACATCCTGTTGATCAACCAAATGTTGTTCTTCATTTAATTTGACTGCCGACGGGATATTCTCGGAAAGAGTAATCGCTTTATAGTCACCTTGTTCACACTGCGATGCGCTCATTTTGTTTGATTACGTTCTCAAGATGAACAAAGACTTTTTATTTGCTTCGCAATTAGAAATGTGTGAGCATCATCAGCTACTAGATTCAAATCTGAAAATCTGTCTCGCAAATAGAGATGCAGCAGCTTAATCTTTGATTTACTACATCACCCACACGATTGGCATTAGATTAGTAAGTGTCGCTTTTTTAGCCATTTAAGATGCATGTTTGCTGAAGTACTCAAATGTAGCTGAATAGATAACGTTGGCTTGTTTCGTTGATTTTGAAAGTTGGTTAGCATTGAAATAAACGTGCTGCTGCCTATTCAAATCAAATTGATAAGATATTTTCATGCATGTTCGCTTTGTGCTCTACACAAGCGGGAGTTTAAATATTTGTCAGGTAAATATAAAATCATATACAAAAGTGAATGTATTAATTATAATGTTACTTTATTGTACAGATGTGAACGCGCGGCACAATGGATACGAGAGTGGAATTTCACTAAGAAACGCGATTAGTTATTTTTATATTTCCATAAATACTTACTTACTTACTTACTTACTTTACTTGCGTAGGCACCGCTTACGCGATTATAGCCGATTTAACAACATTGCGCCATTCGTTTCGTATTTCGTTGGCGCCAATTGGAAATACCAAGTACAGCCTGGTCTTCCAACGGAGTGGAGGTCTTCCTCTTCCTCTGCTTCCATTGGCGGATACTGCATCGAAAACTTTCAAAGCTGGAGTAATCGCATCCATACGAACCAAACGACCTAGTCAGCGTAGCCGCTGCTTCTTGATTCGCTGAACTATATCAATGTCGCCGTATAACTCGTACAGCTCATCGTTCCATCGTCTGCGATGTTCGCCGTTGCCAACGCGCAAAGGACCATAAATCTTACGCAAAACCTTTCCCTCGAAAAGGTTTTACGCCGTTTCATCAGATGTTGTCATCGTCCACGTTTCCACAGTCGTGGGAGCCAAGTCGTGAACGCGATGACTATGTCATCAAACAGACAGGAGATTGTCCTCGTTCACTACCAGACACATCCGCTTCGCTTATTTATCAAGTCTGGAGAAAGCAGAACCCTGTCTGAAACCTCGTTTGGTATCGAACGGTTCCCAAATTCTGGCTGCGCTTCTGGTGTTGTATAGCGTCAGCTTACACAGCCGTATAAGTTTTGCGGGGATACCAAATTCAAACATAGTGGCGGAGCGGCAGCTCCTTTTCGTGCTGTCGAAGGCTGCTTTAAAATCGACATAATTTTGGTGTGTCGATCCTCTTTTCATGGGTATTTTCCAATATTTGGCGCAAGGTGAATATTTGGTCAATGGTCGACTTATCAGGTCTCAAACCGCACTGCTAAGGTCCAATTAGTTTATTGATGGTGGGCTTTTGTGTTTCACACAATACGGTCGACAGAATCTTATAGGCGATATTAAGGAGGCTTATCCCACGGTAATTGGCGCAAACTGTGGAGTCCCCTTTAAATTCCTCAAATTCCAATCGTCGGGCATTCTTTCGCCCGACCATATTCTGTAAAGTAGCTGATGCATGCACCCGGTCAGCTCTTCACCCTCTGCCGGTAGGCCATCAGTTTCCGCCGCTTTTTTGTTTTTCGAGCGTGCGATTGCTATATGAACTTCTTCATGGCCAGGTAATGGAACGTCTTTTCCATCGTTATCGATTGAGGTTTTGGGTTCACCATAAATTCCATATACTCTGGGCATCGGTGGCTAGATCCTGCAAGAGTCTGCTCCGGTCTTGAAACCCTTTCTTAAGTCGTCGTATCTTCTCATAAAATTTTCGAGCATTGCCCTTGACGGCCAGCATCTCAAGCTCTTCGTACTCACTCATCTCGGTCTCTTTCTTTTTTTTTTTTTTAGTCTGCAGATGAGTCTTGCTTCTCGCTTCTTCTCTCGGTATCTATCCCATCCCGTACGTGTTGTGGTCGATCTCAAGTTGCGAGGTAGGCAGTCTGTTTTCTCTCCACTGCGACACGGCAGTTCTCATCGTACCAGCTGTTTTTGCGACGTTTACGAAAACCAATAGTTTCGTTTGCAGCTGTACGAAGGGTGTTTGCGATGCCGACCTACAGGTCCCGTATACCGAGTTGCTGATTAGTGCACTCAGAGAGCAGTAGTGCAAGTTGAGTAGAAAATCGTTCGGCAGTGTGTTGTTATTGCAGCTTTTCAATGTCAAACTTTCGTTGTGTTTGGCGCATGCGTATCTATACATTAAATATTTCCATACATTCACATATAATTTGTTGAAAGAAATTAAATTTAGTTTTCATCTAAAAAAAAAAAAATATTCATCAACTCCAATGCTGTGAGTTGTTGAAATTTAAGTAGATTGGTGTTTTTTTTCCTCTGCATAACCGACCTACTGATGATATTTGTGAAGCCGCTGTTAATACTCCAAATGTTTTTTTTTTTTTAAATTTATTTTTGTATTAATTTAATTTTCCAAAGACAATTGGCTATGTATTATATACAATCAGTTACACATTTTTTGAGTCACTGTATTTATATATTTTTGTATGTACTAAATGCAATATGGCATGTAAGAGCGCTTGGGTGGCTTCAATTTTGGCACACAGTGATTTTTTTGTTATTGTGGAAGTTGCACAAATGTTGCAAAAAACCACTTTTACATAAGTATATTTAACATTTCGTTAATCGAGTGGAGAGAAGAGCCGTAGAAATACTACAGTAAAACTAAGTTATTCAGTTTTCTAGAACTATAAATATGTATAATATCTATAAATATTTCTACGAAATTTTTTTTCAACAACTGCAACCGGTTTTTTGTGGCAACTGTCTTTTAAATTGAGACTTATAATGATGAAATTTTGGCGTTTAGATAAAGACTGCTGTTGCTTAATCCATTTACTACATATATACACACATATTTATGTATTTGTATGTAATATTAAACGTTATATAAAATACTCGTATGCTTACATAAGTACATTAGTTATGTATGTGCGTATTTACATTCGTATGTAATGACATTCGCATTTCTATTTGCTAATCTCCATATTTAGTCCCTTTTTTTTAGATAATATACTATCAGAATTACGTTAACAATCACACTTTGCGTGATTCTGAGTAAAATATTTGTTTAACTAAATTTATCTGAGTGAATGGAGGGCGTGCAAGCGTATTAAATATCTTAGCTAACAGGGTCAAGCATGCAAAATTAATTTAGATATAAAAAAATTTGTATTATCTCATAATTTATTATTATATTAGAAGGAGAGAGGCACAGGGAGTTTTGAAAAATCATATTGCTGATGTTTACTGAATTGTTATTGCAATTTCATTACTTACCTTAAAAAATAAAATTATATCACATAAGACTGCCGAAAGATATGTATATATTTTCTCTATTTTTCCCTTTAATTTTACTTTAGAATTGTCCCCATGGGCGGCCAACGATGCGTCACCTTATTAATATTGCTATGTTACAAGACGAGGAGAATAGTGAAGATACTTAAAATACTAATTAATATTTTATGCTATTCGTTTTTAATTTCGAATATATAATTCCGTAATAAAAAGTGTAAATTAAATATTTAACATTAATTATTTCCTTTAAGACTTTTCTAATTGTAAATGAAACAGTTTTTATTTATTTAATTTTTTTTTGGTTTATTTTCAAACACTAATCGTCCTAAATACATTAAAGCCACTGTGTGCTGTTGACAATATTACACCGGGTAATTGTGGATGCCAATGTAATTCTTTGATTTCCTTCTGCCCCTGATGAATGAATAGTAATTGCGGTGGCAATTTATTTAACTCGTCTTCGCTTTGTGTTTGTGCCGTTGCATTAGGTGTTACCTCTTGGTCTGCATCCTTTTCAACCGCCAAATCCCACAACGCAATTTGATCATCGTCACCACCGGATGCAAAGACAGTCGCATCATTAGGATTCCATTCTAGGGTAGTAATATGATCGGTATGGTGTTTGAACGTGGCAATGGGTTTCTTCGTTTGAAATTGTCTTAAATCCCATATGTGAAGAAAACCATCATCACCACCGCTTGCAATAAACGGTTCTGTGCGATTCCAGGAAATAACATTGATATCACTTTGATGTGCATCTTCACATATTAGCATGCAAGCTTTTTGTGGTGGTGCACGACAATCCCAAATGCGTATCGTTTTATCTACAGAACAGGAGGCCAAAACACTCGCTTCATTCGGACTCCATTGCAAATCTTCCACAGAAGCAGTATGACCAATCAATGGTCGTTGATCAACTTTCCAACTGCCGCTCTCTAAAGGTGACCAAATGTGGATGTCACGCCTATAATACAGGAGGGAGGTAATATAATACTAAACTAATTATGCTTATTTCACTTTTGAAATTTTCGTCACTCACTTGCAATCGCCCGTTGCCAGTACACCTTCTGCACAAGCACTCCAATCTATCGCAAAGCCTTCTTGCTGATGGCCGCTAAAAGTGTAGGCCGGTCGCACCGGTTCATTAACAATTTCGCGTTCATATTGCTTCAGTAGTTGTGCATCTTCAACCGCTTGCAGTTGTTTCGACAAATCCCAAATATTTACACGTCCCAATTCACTCCATGATGCTGCATAGACGTTGTTACCTAAACGCCGAGTACGTACACGATTCACACAACCCTGATGTTTGATCAAAGCGCACGTCATTTGTGGTTTCTTGCGTTCTTCAGCTTCTCCAACATCATCTTGGTCATCATCAAGTTCTTCATCTTCATCTTCGTCTTCTTCATTTTCTCCACCTTCTTGTGTTTTATATAAATTATTCATTTTCATAACAATCAAATTGTTAACATGTGTTCGCGCCGCTTGTGTTCCAGCCACCATATAAGCGGTTAAGGGAAACTTTTCTCTACCGCTGCCAAGTTCATCGGGAATAATATCAAAGCTGAGGCAGGGCGCACCTGTGGAAGCCTGATGCAGCATTACGTATGCAGACTCATCGCACACAAGCTCCTCACCATCTTCTATGGGTTTACCCGGCAGGTATACTTCTTTAGTTTTCGCCGTATCTGTTGTCCCTTCTTCATTTTCACTGTCCATGCCATCTTCACCTGACTCTTCGGCATCCTCGGCTTCAACATATTCTAGATCCATTTCTTCGTTATCCATTATTTTTAATAATTAAACTTCTTAAATGATTTCTCAGTATAAAATGGTATATTTTGGGGTTTTAATTGTTTTGGTAAATTTTTAAACTGGCACGTGCAATGACAAATGGCATTGCCACTGTAAGTCTTTTTCAAATGTCAGTGGTATACGGATTTTATCAGTGATGCCATGCTTTTTCTTTTATTTAAATGACGCTGGCTAGTGCAATTTCGGTGGCAAGTTGCAATATGTTCTCTTTGACACTTGAAATAAACAAATGCAGCTACAGCAAGTTTATCTGTTGTTGTTGTTGTTATTATTATTTTTGTTGGAACCGCAAAATTATTCCCCAAAGTGCTTTTTGGGGAATGTTGCGGGAGTGACAGTCCTTGGCCGGATAAAAATCCGGGTAGTTCCGGATTAAAAACCCAACTGTCGCGGGAACTATTGGATTTTAGTCGCCTCTTACGACAGGCATGCCTTACCGCGGTTAAATTGTTGAGCCCCTAACCTGCAGGAGTTTCTCTCATCAGTAGCGCTGTCGCTAGAATAACGTTATAAGTTGGACAAATTTTTAGCAAGCGTTGTCCATGAGCTGATTTTAATTTATATTAATTATCTTTGAGCCGTACCCCCTGGCAGCCAGTGTTATAGTTTGTAAGTGGAATAATTAATAATAATTGTTTCTCTTTTAAATAAATAAAAAAAATTTATAGAATGAAACTGGAAAACTTCAGAGGCAATTCAATTCTTACCTAAGGTAACAGGCGTTATACCGTTGACGTCTTTCGAGTTGGTGGCAACTATTAAAGTTTGATGTGCCATCGGATTAAGGGTTTTCGAAATAGAAGGACTGCAGCTATCCGCTGCCTCTGATTTGACAGAAGGTTTGGATAAACCGTCGTCGAGCGCGATCGCATAAAAAAACTTGTTTTTCAAAATTTTGGAAGCTTGGCTGGCCATGAAACAATATTCCTCTGCATAATAGCTCGGACTTGGACACGGAGTATGTATAATTAAAATCCCGAAAAGTGGCCAAAGTTATTCCACACTTATAATTCTGAATTGATTTATATTATATTTGGAATATTTTTTTGGCTAAGGTTCCCTTCTGAATTATAATTTATTCTTATAAATGTTAGTTCTTTCGTATAAAATAAAACTTTGCTTGATTAATTTTTATACTAGCGGACCCGACGGACGTTGTCCTGTCCATATATCTTAAATGTAAATAGGGGGCAAAGAATGATTTACTTCACGTTTTTAGTTCTTTTGTTCATCTTTAAACTGCTGTAATGTATCCGAAAGTACTTGAAATCGACCATTAAGTCTCGTCTGTTTTGTTCATGAGTTAATCAAGTTGATTTCAAATACTTATAAAACTTTACAATGACACATTTTACCCTCATATATAATATAGAAGACTGACGTAAAGTTGAAACGTCTAATTGCTCCTAAATAAATGGCCATGCCGTATGTGCTTTATTTTACTTGGCAACTCATTATTATTTTATCTTCGCCAATCTCATATCGAAATGCAGCTGTCAAATTTATTTACATACGTTAAAATTTTGATTTGTTTTAAATTTGTATTTTTACTAAAATTCAAAAGGCAGGAGGTTTTACTTTTATAAAAAACCCAAAAATTTTTCTGGTTCCAAATTGTCAATCTCCTCTGTCAGTCAAAATTTCAAGTCCGCTATGTCCTTGAAGAAAGACTTCTCCAAAGTGGAGTATCGTATAAAGTTGTTGTCAGGTAATAATGTTGTTCTCGTGGAGGCGAACGGCTTCGAATCGGAAATATTTGTGCCAGAAATTCAGAATGGACGCATCAGTTTTCAGAACATTATACCCAATAGGCGATGTTGTTTTATGTTGAATGCTTTGGCGTCGAAAAATTTGTTACGCAAGAAACGTCGTTCCACGCAATCTGCGACTGTGCAACTTGGGACAGCTGAAAGACATCACGATAGTATTTCACCATCCAGAACATGGCGTCTTCACGGCGGAGATGATATTAGTCGCGCACGTTCGCCTCTGGCATTTAGCACACCTGCACCAGCACCGTCGCCAACACCATCATATACATTGAAGCATCAATTAAAATATACAAATAAAGAAAATTATCGACCACGACCACGTACGTTGGCGCAAGCATATCATACCATTGAATTACTACGTGCCAAAGGATCAGCGCCTATTCAATTCGCAGAGAATATTAGCAATCAAACTCCATGCACTAAAACTGTACGCATACAATGTGAGCAATCCGAAATCGACAGGCATTTGAATAATACAAATTGTCTTGAATCCGGTTCAGGCTTCAATATACCAGATGTACCCAACATAACACCGAGATTAGATTCCCCTGTTGAATTGAAAAGTAACTCAAAATCACATACAATTCAAACACCTGGAACAGTTACCAAGTGGCGAAAGTGTCTAACGCCTATACGTACGTATTCCCGTCATGGCATCAATGTGCCACGCTTAACTTCCAGCTCCAGTGTTAAAAAAGTGCGTAATATAAAGAAAATTTCTTCGTCTACACAAGGAGCTGCAGGTACTTACAAGCTAGAATTTAAGAGGCGTAAACTTATTGTTGACCCAAAAACGATTATAACGCCAAAAACATTCAAGCAACAGCTACATTCCACTGCACATTTAAGCGCGAGAAGCCCTGAACGTTTATGCACATCGACAACCAGTCGAAAGAAATTCGAGATAAGCAAAAAACCAGCATTCGATATGTTGACGGCGCCGAGTAGAGCACGCATGATGTCTGCAAAATTAACACAACAATTTAAAAAGAGTTGCGTGAATAAAGCTTCATCCACATATCCAAAGTATAAAATTTTATGTAAAATACCGCCGTTGGAACGGGAGGGTATGCGTAGTGAAGATCGCCAGGATATGTCTAAAGTGAACATCAACCGAAATTTACCGCCGAGTAATGTCACAGTAGCAGCAATGATGGAGAAAGCATGCTCGAATGCTATACAAAGTTCAAACCGAAGATCCAGCGTAGCACATGCGCGTTGGTGTAGTCAATAACAGTGAATGACCGAATGTAGTTGAATTGGGGCTTATAAGTAAATAATTTTTTTGGACTATAGTTTTAAATATGATTGGCAAAAGCTTTTATTTTTTAGTTTAAAAACTATGTTTAATATCTATATATGTACCAATCATATCTATTTTAACATCTTGTACACAAATTGTACTGTGTGGCCGACCATTGGCTTGGCTTAGTGAAACAATTTTGTCTGCATAAACTGCAAAGTAGGTAAATCAAATTAGCAATAAATGCAGTCATTAAATTTTTTCTCTAAAAACAATGACAATGTGTTGCTATACCCGCTAACTGTAACAGTTGTTGTTATTATGTGTGCAAATTGTAATAAATTAGGGATTTATAGTTTTTCATAATTTATGAAGGGAAAATTGTATAGAATTCTAAATCGATTCAATAAATTACTTAAGTTTAAGCTCTGGCTTTAAAATTTTATTGAAAATTATAGGTACGAAATTTCAATTGGTTAAATAAAATTATGCAAAATAACTTATGTATAAATGAAAATTCTGTTTTTATTTATGCTGTAATTTTTCTTTTCGTAAAGTATGCTACATATGTACATACATTATTGGTTCGAAATTATTTTAAATTAAGTTAAATATACCTAAATTAAATTATATTTTAACTTAAGTATAAAACCGATTAAAGCTAATTATACAAATTTACAAAATTTTCTTTGTTGTTTACGTCTGGAAACGAACACATTTCGGATAAAATAACATTATTTTAAATTTATTTTCGTTAAACCAATTCGAAAACGTCCTACAATACTTATATAATAATCCTCTAATCTAGTTTTAACTTAGGAAGCGTAAACATACATGATTTTGAAATCAACAAGAAGCGTCTTAGGGGTTTGTCATCTTCTGCAGCGAAAACAGGACTTGAAAGCTCTTTTAATGGCGCGCACATTATGTATGACTTGTTCCTGAAATGAAAACATTGCACATTTTTATATTTTATTTTCTTGGCAAATAATACGAATTTAACCATTTTGTGGTTACCTGCATTAAATTGAAACACATAGCAATAAGCGCCATACCGAGCAAGAGGTAAACAGCACAAAGTATAAAACTAACCTCAACTTTGTCTTTATCGGCAGTAATCTGAAAATGCACAAACACCAGCTTAAATTTGCTCAAAAGACATTGAAATACACATTTTAGTAATACCACACGTTCGCCTGGCACCAAATCACCAAAACCGATGCTACTTAAGGATATGAAACAAAAGTAGCTGCCATCCAAATAGTCCCACTCCTCCCAGCGGCTAAACAAAATAGCACCCGCTAATATATAACTGCGAGAATGTATACATTTAAAGCAGAATTTTATTTTTATTTTATTTGTACTTATCCATTCCACGCAATCTAACCTTATCATAATGATGACGCAAACCATTAACGGCACCGTAATCTCATCCGTATTCATACGTATCTCTCTCTCAATATCCGAGTCGTTTTCCTCCTCGAAAATCTCCAACGCACTCATGCTCTGTGTCGAAGTTTCCGTCTCCTCGCTGTAATAGCTACTTGAGGAGCTGTTAGAACTGCGACTGCCACTGGTGCTACTGCTCGAACGGCGACTTTCCATGTCGTGAAGCTATTTTAATTTTAAGTATTTAAAATTTATAACAACCTTAAATAATGCAACTTTTGTAACTTACCGCTTTCGACAAAGCCAAACGTCGTAATTTTCGTCGTTCCCGTATGATGCGTCTTCGTGCCACGCCTGGACATATCCGACACAGGCAGACTTTGGAGTAAATCCATTTAAAGGATTTCGCCAATACATCACCTATATTGGAAAGGTAGAGTAGGAAGAGTGGCATGCCTATGATAGCATATAAAATGGTTACTAATTTGCCCCAATCCGATTTTGGTGAGATGTTGCCATAGCCTAGAGTGGTGAGGGGGAAAAACAACAATAAAATAATGAAACTCTTACTTATTTACTTACAAGACGTCTTGATTTATTTTATTACAAAAAAAAAAAACAAAATAAAAACAAACCAACCCTGAATTATTATATGGACCGCTTCACAGAAGATATCGGAAAATATGGCCCTCTCGATTGCAAACTATTGGCGAGAGCCAATGTTAAAGCTACAAGAAAGAAGGATTCTCGGATAAGGACGTTGGACTTATGTTTCCCCGAAATCGAAAAGTGTCCTGCATGCAAATACTCTATTCACGTCGATGAACGAAATTGAGAAAGTCAAAATATTATTATTTTCAGACCAAATTTTTGAGTTACTAATGCAGCGAGTTGATACTTGGACAAAATCTAAATCTCCAGATTGAACTCCTATCTACACAGTTTCAACACCGTCCGTTTCAACTCCCATTTGCTCATCGTACTAAATCCATTTCCCTATAACCAGTTAAGCCCACCCTCCTCTTATCCACAATCTAATAAGGGGTACGCGGAAATAATTATATCCACTGACTGAGTGGGAAATTGATAACTGAGCGAATGGCTAAGCCGTTGCTGGCTTTATGGCACAAATGAATAAATACAATAAATAATAATAATCTAAAAAATCAAAATGAAATAAAGTAAAACAAAATAAAATAAAAAGTAAAATAAAATAAAAATAAGTAAAATAAAATAAAATAAAAAATAAAACAAAATGAAAAAAAAAATAAAATAAAATAAAATAAAATAAAATAAAATAAAATAAAATAAAATAGAATAAAATAAAATAAAATATAAAAGTAGAATAAAATAAAATAACGATAAATAAAAGATAAAATAAAATAATTGATACACACATTGTTTTTTTTTTTTTGTTTTTTTTTTTTAATTAATGTAATTAAGTAAATGAATAAAAACAGTTTCGAATTAAATTTACCTATAGTCGTTATAACCGTTAGCGAGTAAAGGAATGCACCCGAAAAACTCCATTGTTTGTCAACTTCTGGATCGAGGAGGTTTTGATGAGCTATACCTCGTTGAAATTTCAATAAAATTTCATTCACTCTGTAAGATTTGAAAGGAAAATTACAAATATTTTTTAAAAGCAACGCCACTCTCATCCACAAAACTTACTTTGCCTTATAATATTTATTATCGTAGAAACTTATATTCTGTGCAGTTATTTCCCAAATCTCCTGCAGGCATTCATCGCCAAAATTACGTTTGACGGTTTTATGTGTTCTAAGTCTTTCGTATTCGAATAATTCGATTCCTTGGAAAATGAAGGCTCCTACATTTCAATGTGAATTAAATTTGATTCAGAAAGTGCGTATTTTCGAATGATTAACTGAATTACCTCCAATTGTATAGAATATAACAAGTAGTATGATGCCGACGTTACTGAACATAAAAGCCGTAAATTGTCGACATCTATCTTTGAAACGTTCGAACGGTGGTTTCTGACGTTTGCGAAATGAGCTGCGGCGCGAGGACATTTTTCACTTATCGCCTGTGTTTTTGCACGTACGTACGTACACTCCACAACCGGAACCACCGTTTTTCTATGGAAGGCAGCGCGAAGTTCAGTGTACCTTGTTTTATCTGCGACGACGATGCTTTGTGTAGAAAAGCTTTAGTGAGCGTTCGTTGATTAAGAAGGAGCTATATTTACTAGCTCCAATTGGTACAAAAGAACGTTTGTATCTCGTCGCAGTTGACATGCTTTTCGTAGTACAAACCGTTCAAATAACATTAGTTTGCTGAGAATTTCCACGTTTTAATGCAATGGGGGTGACAGCTGTAAATAGGATATTTAAATAAAAATTATTTAAATTTGTAAAAATTTTGTGTAGGGGAAAATAAGGCACACCCTAATACGATGATGCAATAATTTTGTAGGAAGTATAATTTAGGAAGTAAGTGTAATAACAGTTCATAGAAATAAAATATTAAATATGGAAATACATAATTAGGAAGTAAAATTTCGGTATGTATATTTTCGAACATTAGGGGTGTTTGTAATATGTTTCTTAATTTTTTGTTTCTTAATACCCAAGTTTTTTTATGGAGGGAAAATTTAACATTTTGAGTAGCTTTTTTTGTTCCGCAATATAAAAATAATAATAAAAAATAAAAGTCGCAGATCTTCTATTCGAATTTGCGATGTGCCACTTATTGCTCATTGCCACATCCGATAAATGGAGGGACCAACAGTTCTATGCCGTCTATGAAGGGCTAATAAGGATTATTTCTGCAGAGCTTTTTATTTCAAGTCAGAAATACACTAGGAAGAGTTAATAATTCCTGCCGAGGAGCATCTTTATTTAAAAAAAAATACTTTCTATGTTGATCTGGTCAGTATCCTTCTAAGCACTCGATCATGGCGGCTGTTATAAATGATTTTTTATTTTACAAAATTTTATAATATATATTTTATGTTTAGCGCAATGCCATATATTTTAATTTATTTTGCGCAATATTAATGTAAAGTATTATTTATTGCTTGGCATTAGTTCATGATAAACAACATTTCATGCCTAGCAATATTTTATATTTTACTTTTTTTACTTTTTAATTTTTTCTTTATTTTTTAAATTGTTACGATTTTGCTAAATCAACCTCGATGATTTTCTGAATCCTTCGGGTACGATCTTCAGTAATTCACAATTCAATTACAATGCACTTTGCTAGCTACAATCACCTGCATAAACTTTCACAATTTACTTTACTTAAATGTAATCTCCAGCGCGTTTACTCCGCAGCTAAGGGTCGCCCTTATATATTGTAGCAGTCGGCTGCTCGTAGACGAAAGTGTAGAATCATCGGGTTGTTCGCTATTGAAGGTTCTCGTTTTATCTTTCTAGAATGTACTAGTTATCGGCTTCTCTCTTTCATCTGACATTCGCCTTGCATTTTGGTTATAAGATTTCAGTTTTAGAAAAACCTTTAAATTTTTGTTTGAAAACATATATAAATTATTTTTTTTTAATTTTTTTTTTAATTTCGCTACGTTTTGTTTTACATTATTATATTTTATTTCATTACTTCTTAATTTATTTTATTTTTCCGTTATTTTTTTGTTTTCCGTTTTATTTTATTTCTCTTTTTGATTTAATTTCATATATTTTTATTTTAATTTTTCATTTTCTTTTATTTCATATCATTTTATTTTAGTTTTTCATTTTAATTTATTATTTAATTTTATTTCATTTATTTTTAATAATTTCCTTAGTTTTAAAAACTTTTAATTTTTACTAAATTTAATTTAATTACTAATTTTTCTACTTTGTGTTATCTTTTAAGTGTTTTATATATATATTTTTTTTTATTTTATATTAGTCTTTTTCATTTCATTTTCGTTATTTTCATTTCTTTTTATTTATATTTCAATTAATTTAATTTAGCTTTTTTAATTTAATTCATTATAATTTTATTTCATTTAATTGTTATACTTTTTTTATTTAATTTCATCTTATTAAAATTTATTTCTATTCCATTAATTTGTTTTACAATTTTTTTGTCTAGTTTTATTTAATTTAAGCTTTTTAATATAATTTAATTCAATATAATTATTTCAGCTTTTGTATATTTAATTTTAATTTCTATTTCATCAATTTTACTACGTATTTTAATTATAATTTATTCCATTCTATAATTCCTTTTCAATTCTTTAATTATGTTTCATTCTATTTAAACTATTTGCAATTATTTTATTTTATAGTATATTTGATTTTATTTCAATTATTTATGTTTTTAGTTTTATAAATTTAGCTTTGGCTCATATCATTATTTTAATTTATTTTTTATTTAATTTGTTTGAGATTTGTTCCAATTTTTTACGTAAAATTTCATTAATTTCTTAATTACTTTAGTTTAATTTTACTTGTACTTATTAACTTTTTTATTTCTTCTATTTAATTTATATTTATGTTTATGTCGTCTCTTTTCGTTGTAAATTATTAATTTTCTAATATGTTTGAGTTAATTTTTATTTTTTTTAGTTGTTCATATTATTTTATTTATTTTTATTATATTTTAACAGACTTTATTTTCTTACTTTATTTAATTTAATTTAATTTAATTTAATTTAATTTAATTTAATTTTATTTTATTTTATTTTATTTTATTTTATTTTATTTTATTTTATTTTATTTTATTTTATTTTATTTTATTTTATTTTATTTTATTTTATTTCGTCTTATTCCATTTTATTTCATTTAAATAAATAAATTTTAAAATTTTTTTTCTTAAAGTTATGCTAGTCTATTTTAATTATTTTTTCATTTTATTTTTATATATTTGGTCTTTTTCCGTTCATTTCATTTCATTTATTTATGTATTAAATTTTTTAAATTAATTTTATTTTTATTTTATATTTATGTGGTTGTACTTTGGGTTATATATTCATACATAAAATTTGAAAATTATAAATGTGGAAAATTCTCGCCCTAATGTACATATCTACCGGCAAATTTGTTTGGTCTATATATGTACAAATGGATATGTAACTATGTACAATATATAAATAAACAAAGAAGGGAAATACATATATAAATTTATATAAATATATTCTACGCTACACGTGTGTCGCAACAAATGTGTGAATAAGTATTTTTTTTTTTTTGCGAAACAACTTTAGTGCACGGAAAGTAAGTATGAAAGCACGATAACAATACGCAGCTCATATAACAAAAACATACAAATAAACTTGTGTACGAGTATGCATTTCATTTCAAACCGCTTTAAATAATAACAAATTTCTTGCCAAAAATAGAAAAAAAATTATAAAAAAAAACGTGGCGAGTGTGACTCACAAACATTCAAACAAGCTTTATGATATGCACCTATGTACACATACTTATACACATATATATACAATAATATATATATATACATACAATATAAGTACATGTGTTTGTATACATGCTTTTATGGGGGGTATGTTTATTAAGAACGTCTGGCTTTTTGAAAAATGAGGCAAAATTTTAATTGCATTTTTAAATTCAATAAATGTCGTCACATAACCTCAACGATCAGGTGAACGGCTGGATAAATTGAAATGAATGTTTGGAAAACATTTTACGACTGTATATACAGCACGTACTAGTGAGTGCGTCACAAATTGAAAAATATAATATAAATATAAACATGTGTATATAAGTATAAAATGCACTTATATATGCATGTATGTATGCATGTACATTAATAAAATATTATTTATTTTCCAATATACGTGTGTGTATATGTAAATGCATTTTAACTAAAATAAAATTAAAAAATTATGCATAACAAAGTTGTAAATTTACTTGAAAACGTGACAATGGCGCTAGTTTGGTAATTGTTGTTGTGGGCGGAAGGAAATAACTCGGCGAATTGTGGCATATTTATGTCTGTAAAGTTTTCACTTGTATGATTTTACTGAATGATCAAAATGAAACTGCGAGTAATTGACACTCTTATGAGCAGCTGTATACACATGTGTACACATATATAACTAGACACATCCACACTTACTTGTTTACTAAATATTTACGTATATAGTGAATAAATTACGACGCGTTCTTAATTAAATTCCAGCACAAATGTGATTCAACAGGTGTCAGTTTTGTGAGCTTAGATATACTAGAATCTATAACGGTATTTAAATTTTGAAAACAAATATTGTGCTCTACACTCGCAGGTATTTCCTGTTAGATATAATGCATACTACCGAGAAAGTTAGGTCGTCTCCTCGACTGCGCGTCCACTCAAATTTTCCCTTCTAGAAGGGAAATATCGTTTTACTCCTCTTCTCTCTGGATCATTGCCAGAAGGCGGTGAATTGGATCGTATTATGTTGATGCAAGTATATTGTGAAGTATGATAAAACTCCCCTTTTGACTTTGTCTGTGACAGCCACTAAGTTTAGTCATTTTCTTGAGAGCCCAACGACTTTTTTTGCAAAAAGAACTGGTAAATTCTTAGAAATAATGCTGTACTTTTAAAGACGTCAAGAGATACCCCCGAATAATCTACCCGCGACAATTAAGAGTGTATAAGGGCAAATCCTGCCCTTTAAAGGGTTGTATCAGGTGTACAACTTTGCTTCCGCCGTTTTTTTCCGAAAATTAAAAGCTTTATTGCGAAAAAGTGCTTACAGATATATTATTCAAAGTATTGTCCTTCGCTAGCGACAACTTTCTCCCAACTTTCCGGCAATTTTCGGATCCCGGCTCGAAAAAAGGAGTCCTCTTTTGACGCTATCCATGAAGCAATCCATTTTTCCAATTCTTCGAAGGATTGAAAATGTTGATCTGCCAGGCCGTGTGCCATCGAACGGAATAGGTGGAAGTCAGAAGGGGCGACATCTGGGGAATACGGCGGGTGGGGCAAGACTTCCCATTTCAGCGTTTCCAGGTACTTTTTGACCACTTTTGCGACGTGAGGCCGAGCATTGTCGTGTTGGAGGATGACTTTGTCATGTCGCTCTTGATATTGTGGCCGCTTTTCTTTTAGCGCGCGACTAAGGCGCATCAGTTGCGTTCGGTAGTGGTCTCCTCTAATGGTTTCACCCGGTTTTAAGAGCTCGTAGTAAATCACACCGAGCTGATTCCACAAAATTTCTCTTTCACCACCACGTTTGTCTGCGACATCGAAATCACTATTTATAAAACGTTGAAACCACTGCCGACACGTTCTTTCACTCAGAGTAGCATCACCGTAAGTTTCTGAGGGCATTCGATGCGCTTCAGCTGTATTTTTTTTCCAATTGTAACAGAAAAGTAAAACTTCCGGCAAATGGCGAGAATTAGGCACATA